TTAAAGCCATAGCAACTCAAGCTTTTTGTTTTACATATTTATGTTACGATACTTCCCTCTCCCCTTCAGCTAACTCAGATCTTCCATTTTTAAAACATGGCTGGACCTTTAAGAGACATATTGGATATACAACAGGAATGAAAATCCTGAAAATCCTCTCTCTTTTAAAAAGTTTCAGGAAGTATGAAAATGTCATATCCAAAACACATTTACAATAAGACAGCCTTGGGCCTGTTAAGGGCCCTGAGCAACTCATGCTTTTAACAATTCAGACAGAAAGAAATACAGGATTTCAATAAACTAGTAAGTAAATAAATAATTAATTCACTCATCTGATGCCAGCATCAAAACAGTAGGAGACCTTATTACTTCCTTTATTTCCTTTCATATCTGGCTCTGTTGATACAGCACACAATGTGAACAACATACTGGCAAACTTCAAACAGGGACTGAGATTATATCCAACAAAGCTAGAAGGGGAAGTTCAACACCCACACAGTATATTCATACGGAAACAACCCAAATATATTTATTTTATGTGACAGTTTGAATTTATTATTAGTTGCATATAATTTCCTGTCTCATTTCTTGAGGACTCTTGGAATTTACTTCAGGATGTCTTACATTATCACACAACCCTTCCCCTCTACCCTGACACCCTCTCTGCTGAACCTCCTCTATGAGAAGTCTCTGACAAGCAGAAATTTTTAAGTTTGAAGCTTTGGAAGAGATTTCATAAAGGCAGTGAAGACTAAAGTGGATGCAATGTGAAAATTAATGTACAGTAGAATCAATGAACATACCACTAATTTCTCTGCACAACTAGAAGGACTGCCCCTATAAGCAGTGACCAAAAGACCCACAGGTGGCAAAACTATTGAGACTTCTACATATGCTGGCCTTGTAAGAAAACAAAATTTCACAAACATACACACTTGCTTTCCCTCCCCTTCCAATTTGACACACTTCAGCTACTTTTTTAAGAAGTTTGGAAAAGTTCAGTTATTACAGAAAAAAAAAAAAAGTGCTCATACATGGAATTAAATCCCAAAGATTATACTTAAAAGGTAGATGATAGATGAAAATCTCAGACTTATGATGAAATTATTTATATTCCCTGAGATAGAAGGATTTCTAAGTGGTCAGATTTACTAAGCTTTGACTTTTATAGGTCTGTTTTCAACACTACACCGGGATAACAGACCTAAGAGAAGATCTCATTCCACAAAATATGTGTCCTTTTCTGACTTCCCCCATTTTGCCTCTACACACTTCTAAGAGTTAGAACATGCTGCAACACCTTGAGTATGCAAAACTGGTCAGCCATCTGTTAAGACAAGCCTGCTGTCCATAAGGTGATGCAAAAAGCTCAAGAAGTCCACAGCAAAAATTAGCCATTCCTTTTCAAGAGTTAGGAAGAAGTTTTGGTTCAAACCCCAGTACAATATTCTGATGAAATAAACACTTCATGCCAATTTTTGGATTAGTTGTTGTCCACTAGATGAGAAGACTTGGCTGTCCTTGGCTTGGGCTGAGACAAATAATTTATTTTTAGTTTTCCTGCTCCCAATGATATTATTATAGGCCCTGGTGATTGGTAGGTTTTCCCTTTTTTCTTCCAATACCTTTAGCTTTTTAATTGTTTCCATAAGGGTGATCTTACCATTCTTTTTTCTTCCTTAGACTGCAATTTCCCATTTTCCCCCCAGGTAATTGTTTCCCATACAATTCTGAGTTTTCTTACAAAATTAAGAAAATAGCTACAGAAAAGCACCTAGAACCAACACTGCTGTCTGCAGATTTGACAATACAACAGAAACCATGAGGTTTTATTTGGACACCTAATGACATAGTTATAAGGGATTAAGGTTTTATTTGCTTCAGTGAAAATTCAGTCATGCAGAGATTGATACTTCTCTTCTGATGAATTATTTGTCTGGTCACGTGGCCTTCTCAGACTTTACATTGACTCATGAACCTTCTGAGCATTGAAGGTTGTCCAGACCCATGACTACAGGTGACCACATTCAGACTATCCACAGTGTCATGTCACACCTTCTTTTATTATTCTTTTGGAGCCCTGTGAATCTAGCAAAGTCATTGAAAGAACACATTAAACTTTAATGGCACTGGTGAAGCAGACCAGTAGCTCAACAGCCTACAATAAGTGCTGACTTCTTTTCAGTGAAGTCCAAAACCAAAAAAACTTTCATCACACAACCTTAGTTTAGCTCATGCAAGCTTCTGCATTTGGTAGAAAAAATAAAAAAGTTTTATATTTCAGGAATCTGAACGAAGAGGCTAGTAAAACATGCCCCAATACAGAGTTCTAGAGTAATACAGGAAGAAATTATACATACTTAGTAGCATCTAGTCCTTCCTATAAGAAATGGTTTCGTTTTATAGACATGACATATCTGAAGTGCAGCAACATGGGTCACAAACCACATTGGTGAGATATTTTCATTTTGTAACATGAATAAATCTCAGCTTTGTGTAGCTGAACTCTGCATTTCAGTTCATCCTCACCCAGTCAATCTGAGCAAATGCTAGTCGGTATGTATACATGATCCTGCATGAAAATCCATTTGTGTTCTTTGGACCTCATACTGGAAAAAAAACCCTTTTAATATACCTACAATTTCTGAGACAGACGAGCTGACACAGCAGTAGGTAGACCTATCTACACATGAAAGGAAAAACCGTCAAGCTTTATACATTCAGATGTAAACAAGAAACATATTCATTTCACTGCCTAATTGCGCTTGTGGTCATCCAAGACAGATCCAGTTAGATAATAGGGGAGTGTAATGCCAAAGAGCCTGGAAGGAATGGACTATTGTATTTGACTATTTTCCATGTACAAATTAGCACAGCAAAAGAAAGAAATCCTGCAGAAAAACACATGTACTTCATTACAGCCCCTAGTGTTACTTCTGTAAGTGTCACAACAGTAACAAAGAGCTAAAAAATGCTGCTGAAAAGATGCAAATAACAAATGCAAATGTGTTTAAATGTCCCTCTGACATGACGTGATTTGACTTCTAGTTTGTCTGAGCTCATGGCTGGTTTTGGTTTGGACACAACTGTGAACTTTTGCTGATGTTACTGAAGTGCCACATGACAAGAAGCTGCTGCTCATGGTTATTGGCCTTTAGAAGAGATACAAGGTGATACACAAAAATCCAAATGCTGATTGTCGTGGATTTCAAACTCATTCTATCTACTTGGCTAAAGGCTAACATCTAGGATGCTGACAGCCAGGTCACAGCCTAATTTAATGACTTGTTTTTCTCTCAAAAAACATCTATGAGCTTTCTACCATGCCTTTGGTGATCCCATGCTGCAATAAACTACAGTAGGAACGGGTATACCAAGGCATCCTACAACTTATCCCTATCTCTAGCCAAGCTGTAAGTCAAATACTGGAATGTTTACCTAATCTCCCGCTGAAAGCAAGTGAGAGATTTTCTGAACTATGGAAGGAGCAAAAGAATGGTCTCATTCAAAAAAGAAAGTTAAGCTTTCTTCACATCACTATTCTTAAGGTACAAAGAGATTTGGCGGGAGGTGGGGGGGAAATCTCAAGGCAGGGTAAGTCATACAAGTAAAAACTGGTATAATGTGGAATATAATGCATAATAGTTGGCACCAGAATGCATTGTTTATTTTCATGAATCAGGGACTGAGAAATTAATTCGCAAGCAGCAGAGTGATATACAAATATTATGAGTATGAGCTTAACGTGGGGCCAAATCCCACGGCCTTTACACATTCTTGTGGAGTAATATCTCCTGTTGATCTTCCTTAAATTAGTTCTGCAGGACTGTCTCAGTCATTACTGACTTATTACAGTCATCAGGTAATAAACATCTCATTTTCATACATGAAAGAGAATCCACGCTGACTTTATGCCATTTTGTGTGAATTCAGTATTATAAATAGAATATAGTAAGACTTTTAGATCAGTACAAACAGCATTCTTATTTCTAGTGCTCAAATAGTATTTAGTGACTCTATATCCAAAAAACTGTTCCTTTTTTTTTAATAATACAATTATTTAAAAGAAGTATTTTGAACAGGGTTATCCTAATGTTTAGCTCTCCATGAGGTTTACTAAAAATTGTGTCGAGATTAGTTTACAATGATTACTACAGATTGGTCGACACTGATAAATAAGATGGAATCTGCTATAAAATTAATGTATTTCTTTATGATGCTTTGCTATTTGAACTACTGCATTCAATCAAATTCAAGAAAAATGGCAATATACCTGTGCCAAGATTACTCTTGTATCAAAAGTGTACGTATATTAATATCCTTTCTGCAGATGTTCTGATTGCCAACTCATCACTCATAAAATTAAGTATGAGTCAAAATGGAACATCTAATGTCAATCAAACAGCACAGGTACATCTTTCAGCTGTAAGCACCCTATCAGGATAATCAGGGGAAGTATGCAAGAAAATAATCAAGTCTACTGCTCTGAAGTATACCAGATATCACAGAACGTATCTTTCAAAGTTTGGTATAAACTTGACTCTGTAATGAGGCACAGAACCAGCTCATTTAAGCTGGTTTCAGGAAAAAGTTCAGTACATGCTGTACCTGTTTTCTCTGCATGTGCAGAAAAAAACCTTTTTTTTTTTTTTTGAGGAAGAAAATTCCAGGAACATTACAGCACGATATAGTTTGATTTAAAGAGCAGAGACACAGTTCCTCTCTGAATCCCAAGCAGTTAAATCACCATTTACAGGTCATTTAGAAGTTTAGAAAGCTGCTGCCAACATCAACTTCTTGGTTCTACCTGCATCAACCCACAATATCAAGGCTCCAAGTCTGCAGGGCGGTAGACAGGATAAAACTTACACGACTTGTTCAAAACAAACTCTCTCCAACTGCGATTTTAAGAGATTAAAAACATACCCACCCGCATATATGCGCACAGATTCAGTATCAGCTACAGGCGGAAGGTATTTTAGGAAAGGAACGGCATTTACCAGGAGGAGGGCAGCCAGAAGCAGGGTGCCGGCGGCTGTCCAGCGGCAGCGCTCCATCGTGGCCCGGGCGCCGACCTGCGCTCAGCGGCGCGCAAGCTGTTAGGGGCTCGCCCGGCGGCCGGCACCTCCCCAGCCGCGAGCTGCAAGGCTGCCCTCAGCGAGCTGCCAGCCTGCCTGCCTTCAGCGTGCTGCCAGCCTGCCCTCAGCAAGCCTGCCTTCAGCGTGCCGCCAGCAAGCCTGCCCTCAGCGAGCTGCGAACCTGCCTTCAGCGTGCTGCCAGCCTGCCCTCAGCAAGCCTGCCCTCAGCGAGCTGCGAACCTGCCTTCAGCGAACTGCCAGCCTGCCTTCAGCGTGCTGCAAGCAAGCCTGCCTTCAGCGAGCTGCCAGCCTGCCTGCCTTCAGTGCCGCCTCTCCGGCTCCATCGGCCCCGCTCGCTTTCCTGACCCTGCCGGGGCTGGGTGGGTTGGCGTGAGCTGCGGGGAAGCGCTCCCCGAGCCGGCGTTCAGCCAATCCCCCTCCTGCTACTCAGACGTGCAGCGCAACAAAGCCAAGAGGTCTGGAGAAAGCCTAGCAGCTACAGAGGGGAAGGAAAAAGAGAGCGGGAGAGGAGGAGTGGTAGGAGGAGAGAGGCAGAATGGCAGAGCTGAATGGAGTGCTCTGCCTGCAGCTCCCGGAGCTCCGCTCCACCACTTGCCATGAGCTGATTCACGCTTACTGCTAGGTCAGTAGCCCTCCCGAGCGTGCATTGTTCCAGACAGGAGGGAAACTTAATCTGTGTCAATACATAACGTGTGCCATAAAAAGCACCAATAGGAAAATGCTTACATCCTCCAGGGAGGACGCACAGTGTGCTAAAGCCTCGATTCTTCACAGAAAAGTGCTCTCTTTTAGACCGTTTGCTCAGCAATAAAGAGGCCTGACTCCGCTTTAAAATCGTGAAGCAAAAATGTTTCCAACAGGCCGGGTGACGCTCTTTTCTGTAACTACATTCTTACTCTTTGGAGAAATTTAAAACCTAAGCTATTGGAAGGAAAGTGGGATTACTGGAGGAAGAATTTTCGGCAGAAAGGCAAAGACTCACACACCTCAGGAAAGGTGGGAACTCTGCCTTTGAAGTATTGATTTGACAGATAGGTGTTTCAAACAACTGCTCTCAGTCTGTTGAGAGTTCATTTAGCTTGCCTGCCTATGATTCTGCATTGCCTGAATTCTCCAGCATTTATATTTTAATTTATTTTTTTTTTACTGTCTGTATATTTTATTTTCTGAAGGAGAAATTACAAACTAGATCCAAGAATTTTCTAAAAGCCCTAGGCATTCTCCCACATCAGGCTGAGCTGAATGCCTTGCAGTCTCAAGATTTTGGTACTGCAAGGCACATCACATCCAGATGGGCATATAGAAAGCCCAGTAAAAAAATCATGATTCTGGCACGTCAGCAAGCTCAGACAATGGAGAACAGTAAGGTACATGTGTGTTAGGGGTGGAGAATAGTATGCTAGCCATGAGTCTTAGAAGTGACTGAAGTCAGAAGTTAGCAAAGGAAAAGGAAACTCTGCCAAGGGCCAGGACTGGGGACAGAAAGGAAAAAGGAGTAAGGGTAGACCACGGACTGTTTAAGAGAACTTCACATCAGTAGAAAATAAAACCAGCCTGGGGGAAAAGCTGGATGAACAGATGGAGAGTGATACAGACTTTGTAAAAGAAAAAGAACTGGGTGGAAAAATGAAAAAGAGTCACAGATGTTGAGAAGTCAGATAGGAGAAGCGTCTGGCTTTGTACAACAGGAACAGAAATATAAACACTGAAGACATCTGGAGGCCAAAATAGAAAAGATACCAAGTAGATGGAGATGGGCTTTAGGAAATGAAGATGGAATTTAAAAAAAGAAATGAAAGTAATTAGGAACAGTGGAAGAAACAGATTTCAGCCTTCACTGCCCAGCAGTCATTTGGTCGGGTACCTTTGGAATTGGCAGGTGAGGAAGCAGGGCCTGAAAGACTGAAAGGGCTCAGTAGGAAGGTGCTATGACGGAAAATGTAGTAGCTGGACTGAACATAGCAGGGATGAGAAAAGGTTTGAAACAGGTTCCAATATTCCTCTAGTACATCTTTATCTATCTCTACAGCAACTTCAGTGACTTTTTCATGGAGCAAAGGTGAGGGATGGACCACTTTGCACCATCAGAAGTGAGGAAGCAACCATAGGATGACATCAACGGAGAAATTATGACTTTTTGCCCTTTAAATTAAATGACTAAATTATGACTATTGCCCTTTAAAACTCAGGAAACTCAACATATAAATCTACTAAAAAACTAGTGTACTTTTTACAAATAACACCATTATCCCCCCCAAAGTAAAGCCCTCATATCTTTTTCTTCACCAGCAGAGTCAACACATACACCGAGAGCTGCACAAAAGGATTTTATCCATACATCTCCTAGCTATTGTTGTATGTTTTCCACCTTACTCTTTTCCTTTGCTAAAAGACTAAGGTAATTGGAGGAGTACTTACAGTAGTTCCTGGAATTCCTGTAAATGAGATTCTCTAGACAAACTTTTAAATGCAAACAGTAAGATTTGTAATATTGAATAGATGAATCTTGACTGCTTTATTTTTAAGAAAAAAACTGCTGCAATTATGATTACGTGACTTACAATGGATGGAACAACTGACAAAGATGTTTTCATAACCATGTGTTTGGGTTTATTTGTGTGGTTTATTTTGTTTTTTTCTTAATCTGACTTTAAACTGGAGATTTTGCACTAACATTGTATAAACCCATTTCTGAATGCCTCATTTTGTGTCTCTTGTTAAACTATGGAAAATGTGGCTTTTTTAAAATGAAGTATGGGATATTCTTCTTTTCAGTAGAGAAGCCTCAATAGACAACTTTATCATCTAAGGTGGACTAATATTTTTGGAATTATATTTATATTCAATGTATTCTGCAGTTTTCTGATCACAGAACTCCATCACAGCTGATGGGAATGTTGCATGAAGAATGATGGTGGGAGACAGGAGTTTATTATGTAATAGAATCATAGAATCATTAGGTTGGATAAAACCTTGAAGATCACCAAGTCCAAATGTTACTTTAACACCGCCAAGTCCACCAATAAACCATGCCCCTAAGCACCCTGCCCACACATCTTTTGAACACCTCCAGGGATGGTGACTCAGCCACTTCCCTGGACAGCCTGACACCACCTCAGTTCCCAATATTGCATCTAACCATCTGTTAGATGCAATATTGTTCCAGCTTGAGGTTGTTTCTTCTTCTCCTTGTTTCTTTGGAGAAGTGACTAACTCAAAGTTGTAGAGAGTGTTAAGGTCTCCCCTCAATTTCCTTTTCTCCAGGCTGAACACTCCCAGCTCCCTCAGCCGCTCCTCACAGGAGTTGTGCTCTTCACCAGCTCCCTTGCTCTTTTTTGGATGTGCTCCAGAACTTCAATTTCTTTCTTGTAGTGAGTTGAATGTCTTACAGTAATGCTACAAAATTATGTAGTCTGCAATGTTCAGACATGTCAAAAAGGTGACTTTAAAGAGCTTTCTTTATTCAAGATATGTGTTTAATCACTAGCACAGCAGCATGGTATTCATAATAGCATTACAATATGCATGAAATTCACCATGACTGATACTCTGGTTGCACATTTAAAATTTAGACCAGAATCTAAAATGCAGCTTGAATTTTGTTTTCACAACGAACTCATGCAAACTGTGTAATTTTTTCATGAAACTACATAAATATTCTTAATAAAAACCACTATAAATAAAAACCCACATTCTTCCAACAGTTTGGCTTTCATTTTTCTGCACATAGTTGAACTTAAAAATCAAAGTGAAATTGAGGGAATGGAAACACATGAATCAAGTCCAAGGGAAAGGTCTACTCAAATTCTTGCCTATAGCTTTAATGAGCAGTTGTGCCCAATATCTGCCAATTTCTCCAGAGCTATATTGGATCTATCTAAAGGCTCATTTGAATTATTCATAATGGGAAAAAAAGTAAAAGAAAACCAAAAAAACAACACAAAACCCCAACAACAACAAAAAGAAAAGAAGTGTAGATTTACTGAAAAATTACATTAAGGCATCAAGTGCCTGAAAGGGTTGTAGAGCCCATCTCCATGTCCTGCTGTTTAGGTCCAGGATTTTATTATACTGCATATATGCATTTATATGGGGTTAATTTACTTGTCTTGCTGAAAGACATATTCAATATTCTATATATGGAACACTAGTTTGGGAGTATGGAGTGTGGTATTTCTTCTGTGGATGCACATATATATAAAAAGAAAAAGATGCTCTAAACAAAGTAATGTTGCCTGAAGAGTGCAAAAACTCAGGCTCGGTTCACGTCCAGATTTTCCCTGTCATATACCCCAAGGGAATACAAGAATTCAGAGCAATAAAAGACTGCTATCTGCAGCAGAAGTAATAGCTGAAACTTTAAGGGATATGTTAGCCAGTGTGGATGGTCCCTAATGCTCCCAGCACTGTTGTTTCCCCAGTAAGACTGAGGTTGTTCTTAGCAAAATCTTAATGCTACAGATGAAGTCCTGAGACACTCAAAATCATTTGCAAAAACTGGTACTGGAGATTGGTGAATCTAGGATTGCATTTGGCATCACTTTCTGAGTATATACATGCAAATATGTCACCTCCAATCCCTGACCTTACAAACACATGTCATTCACCACCTCAAGGGAGATTGCACAAATACTTGCTACACTGTGTTCTGAAAATTGCACCTTCCACTTTCTGAAGTGGTTATTCATTCCAGTTTTCCTTCACCTCTGAAAGGTGTTAAATTAAATCCATTTGCATCTGTTAGAAGGAAACAGAATTCATAATCAACACTGAACTCTACCTATTACAAATTATATGAAATGGAAGTAGAAGCCAAGGTGGGTGTCTGAAGCAGTGTTTTAAGCTCTACAGATTTAACGATACTTAATTTGAAAAACACACATGCAGGCAGAAAAAACCTGTTAACATCAATATACTTTCTGGCAGAAAAGAGCGAACTCAGCTTTGGAGCTGATCTCCCTGGTGAGAATATCTTACCATTGTCACTCAGAAGACACCTGTCTCTTCTGGGTAGCTGGACTTCTTTTTTGCCATACAGTCTGTAGCAAATGGCATTTTAAAATTTTTACTACTTTTTCATTAGCAGTTTTTCTTAGATTTCTTTTTTCTATTGTAAACACGGATTGATTTCTGGGAACCTGTAAGCTTGTGAAAATATGGAAAGTGAGAAGTGGGAGGGAACCAGCGCTTTATAAGGAGATACAGACAGGATTCGCATTTATATGTGTGTGTATGTGTGTGTGTGTCTTCCTCCATGCCTTTGAAGGCTGTGAAAGAAAATAGAATGAAAGTTAGAAGGACTGTAATATTCTGTCTAGTACAGCTCATTTAGATATACATGATGTAAGATTATGAAAGCCCTTTTCCCCAAAGGTTAAGGTGCTGATGCATACAAACCTTTACTTAGACATCCAACGTGAGATAAGACTCAAAAGTATGATAGGAGGAACAATACAGCTCTGAGCAATAAGAAATCCCTTATTCATCCCTAGCAGGGAAATAGATACATAGTTCAGCCTTCAGATTCACCAGGTCTTTACCCTTTACAGGAGACAGGTTGACATGAGCCCTGGAGTAAAATGGTGCCACTTAGGAGCAGGTGTGCTGTGATCTCTCTGTGTTCAACGCTCACATCTCATGTAAGATGAGGTCTCAAGAAAGGGATGATATGTAACATTGCTTTATCCATTTTGTTTGGCTGAACAGAAATCAGACCTATGAGATGCTTCCATGTGAAACACTTTAAGCTTTACATATTGAAGCTGAACAGTTGCTTCCTCCATGGGAATAATGGAAAAAGTTGGAGTGAATTCCTATATGCGGGCTGCTTCTTTCTTGATATTTAACTGTACTTACTGAAGTAATGAGCTGTAGAGAACTCCTCCCTTCCATGCTGGTTTGTTACCATCATATGAATGATGATATCTGTTGTATTTCAGTAATAGACCTAGACCTCTGGCAGCAGTAAAGTCTAAACCAAAATTTCACCAAAATGTCTAAACTATTATAGACTCCTGCAGGGTTCTTTCACAACAATTTAACATCATGTTCAGTTTTTTCATTGTAAGGGTGTGGCAGTTTAGTGGATGAGCCAAACATCTTGAACTGACATGCTTGAGAACCTAAGTTACAACAACAAAATAGGGAAATTCTGTAACAGGAGGTGCAAAATTACTTCCTCCTCCTGTTTTGATAGAGAATTCCAGGTAAAAAAGGCAACCACTTACATATCATTCTTCCAACATAATTTCTTTCTCAGGCTTATTTCTTCACACAAGACAGTTTCCTGTATTGTTGTGCTGCTGTATGCTCCTTTTGAAGTCTACTTTCAGAAGCTTTTTCAAGAAGCCTTACTTATCTCTACTCTTTCCACGCCTTTTGCCTCCCAGCTGGTGCTGTATCTCAGCTTGCTCTAAAACTTAACTTGCCTTGCTTTTCAAGCAGCCCGCAAAGCACAGAAAATAATCAGTTTCTGTTGTAAAAACAGGGCACTCTAAGTACAGTAAGATTGAGATTAAGTAATTTACCCATAATTTTACATGAAGGCACTAACAGAGGACAGAATTGTACAACATTACTGAAGTTGCAGACTAGCAGCCTTAGCTATATGGACCCATATGGTGCTTAAGTTCCATGAGAAATCACATGAAAGTAAATCTCTCTTAAATATATATAGCAAAGTGACATTAAGAGCAGAGTATTTCCATTGCCTTACAGAACATCCAGATCTTGCAATAAACTTCACGCAAGTAAGAGACTTGTTCTATGTCAATAACTCTTGAAAATCAATGAACGGTCATTGTTGTGTTTTTAAATCAGACGCCTGACTTCAGATATCAATATGTGAGTTTTGTTCTTTATGAAAGTTTCTAGGCATGCTGTTTGCAAAAATTAACCAGAAAACAGATACTGACAGAATATACAAACATGTAATTAATGAGAAGTCTCATTATTCAAACTACCAAGCCTGTGATTTTAGAGAGATTACACAGCAGCACTTGGGGCAGATGATACTGCTTTTGAATACTGCAGAAACAGATCTTATATTTTTGTATCTGGAAGTCAGCTGAGTTATAAATTTCTTTACTGATAAAACCAAACCCAAATCAAACAAAAAAACCTCATAGGGTTTTCAACATCTGATTTAGAAGGCTTTTGTCTTGTTTCATTTTTCCTTCTATGGAAGTAAAGCATAGGAAATTATTTATATGGCCTTCTGCATTGCAAATGGGATTCAATTACATTTCCATTTTCTTCTTATCGAAACTGAGATTCTATAAGCAGGCACAGACCATCATGAGTGAACGTAAACCATGTGAAACTGGCAAGATATAATGAAGGGAAGAATTTGCAAGTTTTAGTAATCTTACGAAGAAATGAGACAAAAAATAAGACTAGGAAATACATTTTGGGTCAGGATTCGGAAAACCCTTAAGGTGGAGGTGGGATTTGTGTTTTGGCTAATTTGCAATACTCAGCTCTGTGTCTGTATTCAGCTTTCCAAAGTTTCCACAAGAGAAGGTGTGGAGGAAGGAGAGGGGTTGGATACAGAGTCTTTGGATTTTGCCCCATCTCTTATGCTAGCAATTAATGAAAGTGCCAGGACAGCACAAAGCATACTTTGAAATGTTGAGCCAGCAAGATATTTGAGCATTGGAGAAATCTTTCTTAGTGAGAGGGTTTTGAATATCAAAACAATAGTGAAGATGCTCCATGGTTGGAGCACCCACTCAGTCACAATGTGTTTTTCTAAGCAAAAGGCACAGAACACTTACCCTCAAGTTGGCCAAGTTAATAAAGATTAGCAATGCAGACAAACAGCAAGGATTATTAGCACGAAGACACCTAATGACATACTTGAAAGCTGGAATTGTTCTTGTGACAATTACAGAGGTCGAGCAAATATGAAGGTCCGTGGTGAGGAAGAGAAATCTTCAGATTACGGGACAAAACACATTTTAAAATATAGAAAGATAAAGAATATGTGATAAAATATGAGAGTAAATGGTAGGATTTTGAAACAGCAGAGTACTCAAATCACTGCAACATACACGTAGGAGTGGAAAAAGGTATTCAGTGGAATATTTGAAACATATGGTTTTTGTTTATGTTTCTTGCAAATATTTGAGAAAAGAGAACAACTTCTACCTGTATACAATTGTGACCGTGAATGCAGTATTATGTTGTAACAAAAATGTATTTTTAAGCAACCAGTAAAATGCTGGAAGAGATTATAATATTAATAACTAGGAGGCTATCGTGTTCCGTATTAAATTTCTCAGCACTGCAGCTCACTATGCAAAGAGCAGCAGTTTCTACTTGATGGATTAAACAGTTACAAAATGGTAGAAATACAGGAAGCAGTGAAAAAAGACAGATAGTATTTTCCTTGCAAGCGAGGCCGAAAATATTCTCAATATCAGAGAAACAGGTGAAAAGATGAAATAATTTTTATTTTTTGGGTTTACAACTGGCAGGATGTGGTGACATTCTAGTTTGAATTCATGACAGTTGGCAACTCAAAATTCAAATCCATATGTGGACTGAATCATCACAGAAACACTTTAAAAAGCATTTGAAGAATGATTGTCTCTGGTAGATTTATCTGACTGGTTTGTACTGAGTCAGGCATGTGAGTAGATGATAGAATCTTAAGGGCCTCAAT